AAATCCATAGCCTATTTCAGCTATAAAATGTAATGTTGAAAACAGAACATCTAGTCACTCCCATTTCAGATATAAAACACAATTTTTAAACATTATATTTAACTCCCCCATTTGAGATGCTGAATTCCCATTCTAAATCAGCAAAATAAATTCCCCTCCCACCCCAAACGCATAACTCCATTTTTAATGCAGGCCAATTATTTTCCCAGCTGCTCCCCCCAAAAGTCATGCAGTACAATTACTACAGGAATTGAAGTGGGGGGGGGGGAGAGAAGAAAAAAGATTCAGTCAAAAGCTATACGAGGGTTTAAGGATAGGTGGTAAGGGTAAGGAAAACAGATGGTAGAAGTGGTGAAGGAAAGCTGGAACTCAGATGGAAAAAGGTAACTCTCTAGTACAGTGTTTCTCAACCTTGGCAACCTTAAGATGTGTGGACTTCAAATCCCAGAATTCCTCAGCCAGCCATGCTGGCTGGGGAATTCTGGGAGTTGAAATCCACACATCTTAAGGTTGCCAAGGTTGAGAAACACTGCTCTAGTGCCTCCAACATTCAGTGGCAGATGATATACCTACATATCAAACCAAGGGAGGTTTGACCCCAAAAAGAAATTTGGCTCTGCCAAAATTAGCTACTGTACAGAATGTGATATCTCAGTGAGCCCCTCCTCACAGAAAAGATGGTCGCCTCTTCATGTTTCACACGAGCTTCTTTACCTTGTCATATCTGGCCAGATTCTGAGGAGCCAGACCTGGAAATCCAAAAGACATTCACAAGAATGACTGAGAATAAACACGATAAACGAAACCTCTTACTTGTTGAAAACCTTTTTCCCGAGGCGGGAACGGGATGTATTTGCCTCCTGCTTCAGGTCTGTCAAGTTGGGATATTTCTTCTTTGCCTTCCCTTTCTTTTTTCCTCTTTTTCCTTTTCTGTCATATTGGGAGGATCCAAGGTCAACTCCGGTAGCGGCTTCAACTTCTCTCATCAATTCAGGATCTTGCCACTCTGACAACAAAAAAATGAAAATGACCACTTCACTTCTGATTCACAACCATCCCAAACTGCCTCCCTCCTTGTCTCCCTCTGATTTGGTGGCCATATATGTCTAATACTTTATTATATTTTCATATCTTAGATAAAATAACGGATGGACCATCCATCCATCCATCCATCCATCCATCCATCCATCCATCCATCCATCCATCCATCCATCCATCTCAGGAATAA